TTGTAAAATGTTTACACGTAGTACGTTTGTACGAGATTTTGAGCTAGTATATTTCTTAGAAGTTCTGGTACCCTCGGGGAAAGGTACGGCAGCAAGGAAGCGTACTTTGGGTAAACTGTGAGTGGGTGAAGCTTCTGCGTGGCACGTGCATGTTAGAAATGATATTTTGCTATGGTTCGTTTCGACACGTGGTTCGCAATACTTTACCTGGGGGAATTTCGCGTCAGGACCTTAGCAGTAAAGCAGAATTCATGAAGATACTGTACTCTAGATGGTTCTACAGTATCCTGAAGGAACAGAGCATTGAAAAATCTTTCGCGATTTTCTTAAACTAATTTGTTTCTATAGCAATATGATAATATTATGTAATTTTCCTTCGATTTATTGCACCCGCGACACAGCAGATTTTTGCTTTCAACCTAATCAATATTAAAAGAAATAAGCTTTATCTGATTACATTCTTTGCCCTCACTATGCCCTCGGAACTTATTATTTGGCCGGAAGGCATTTAATCGAACTGTTAGCTTATTTGCTGCCCACCCCCGATTTCATAAGTGACGTCTACCCGTCCCAGATCAGCTGTGGTGAACTTCCGTGGCTTTTTCTGGTAATGAAGACATTGCTCTGAAAAGGTGATTGTTTTGCAATACCGAAGTCATCTTCCATGACTCCTGACCCTTTAGTATAGCTCCCAAAAGTCCTAGTCCGGGTGGAGATACTCGGCTGAGGCTGAGCCTCTGATGGTAAAAGTCTATGGAATAACCCCAAATCATCGTTTATTATATACCCTAAACTAATCGAATTTTGAAAAATTCTTCTCTTCTCTTAATGAAATAATTGCATGGAAGTGGTGGAACTGTTTTTCCTTCAATTTTCATTGATATTTCCTTTCACTCAGATAGTTTTCTATTTTCCGACATCTGTCTCGGTAAGTTAAGCAGATGGAGCTTTTGTTGAATCCGCCAGGATCACTATCTCTTTGCAGTCACTCTCTCACTAACTCATTGAGGCTGTTTTTANCCAAAGGTGATGGAAAAAGTCGCTGGCTACTTGCTGGTCTGCTGGTTCGACTCCTGATGTTATCAAAATCAAATGATGTTTAAGGGGAAGAGCATTTAAGAAAATATCTAACGAGTGAGATAAAAAGTGAATTGTGATTGGTATATTCAAGCAAGTTGAATGGAACGCCTGAATAATTTTCTTTTCAAACTGAACTCCTCAAAATCACTGGGAGACCCCATCCCTCTTTTGCTCTTCTTGTATTTAATCAGTGGTCGCTGTCGGAACTTGTGGGATCTTGCAGTGGGTATAAAGGAGTAGTTCTATGGTCGAGGTCATCGACATTCACAAAACAGATTTTAAGGAATTCGCTTAAGCCCGTAGAGGTGGTGGTAAATTCAGCGCCTTATCAGGACCAATGTGGACATCGACATAGGTGTCCTTGCTTAATCTGCAGCAAAAAAGTTATAGATGAAGAAAAGTCATTGTGGCTTTCCGAATGGGCTTGTCTGATGGAAATAGTTCATGGCTCCAATAAGTGGTATATACGAATGTTCAGAAAAACTGGAAACTCATATAGAATTCATCCAAACTCGTGACGTGGGCATCACTAAATAGTTAGAATAATAAATGAGGGAATCGTGAGGTTTAGCGATATTCCCACCTTCACTAGCCCTCTGAAGCTAAACGGTGCAGCCAACAAAGCCTTCTAAGGCTCGGTAAGCAACACCGAGCCATTTCCTTTGCTTATGTATACCACCTTGTTCCTGAAAATTGCGCCGTGGGTAGGTGAAGCTTCTCCTTAGCTTTTGCTGTTTTTGTCGTTTCCAGGGAATTGAGAAGCTTTCACTCTTTTACTTTTTCCTCAGTTACAAAAAAGAGAATGTTCTGAGTAGACATTAAGATTTGAACTTCGATTACCTTTCTCATTTTACAGATGTGGAATGTGGCAGATGTAATTTTTGTTGGTTGTTCACTGGTCACACTGCCCGTCTACTTTACTATGCTTATTCTACTTATTCGTAATAGAAAAACTACAAGTTTTTGTATACCATTCTACTGGCTTATAATCTCACAGGTAATCTGCCTACTGTAATCTTCGTGACCATGAAATACAATCTGAGTTGTGGAGACTTAGGCATAATCAACTCTGTTCTGGGATGCTTCCCCTGTTCGACTTCCATTCCTGAACGTAGTGTCGGACGAGACGTAACCAACGAGAAAATCGGAGCTCTAATCTTCCCAAACGGGTCTGGTACTAAAAGATGTAGGGTATGGTAGGTACCGAAGGAATGGAAAGTCTGTAGGTACTGAAGGGATGGAAGGTCTGTAGGTAGCGAAGGGATGGAAGGTGTCGTTGACGTGGGCGGTTGCTGCTATTCAAAGAATAGCTGCATCTCTTTCCCGATCTCTTTTAGAGAAACATTTTGCTGTAATAACTGCGCCCAGGGAGTAGGTACAGCAAGCGTTTTCCGCGCTTTTGCANAGGTCGTCAGTTTACATTTACGGTCTTCTGAAACTCGATAAGGTTTATCACTTTTCACTAGGTTGATTTTTGGCCCACTGACAAACACTTCGCCAAAGTGGCTGCTTTCATAGTCCACGATTTGGCGAGCGACGGATCGCGAGCGACCAAGCGACCGGTCGCTCGCCAAATGTGGACTATGAAAGCAGCCAGCGCCTACAAGTATGTATGGAAGAGAGTTGTGCAGACTTTCGGTTGGGTGGTCAAAAATTGCTCCAAGGCTTTCAGCTTCTTGGCGGGCACTACCAATGTAGGGGAGAGTTGAAGTAAGTTCTATCACAACTCCTCCACACCTCCTTAGCTTGTTTTGTAGTGGAGGATAGACATTGGTGTAGAGACTTTAAGTTTAAGTCTTTTTTCCCTCCCAACTAGTTGTAAGTAGATCTGTTCATGGTGAGGAGCTGGATTAGAAGTAATTTCAGGGTATCGCTGATTTGTTATATCTGGTCACATATGTTACTTTTATTATATTCGCTTATATCGCATTTTCTACCGAGCTGGATCCGGTTCTGACTCGAATAGTGACGAATGTTGATGTAAAAATACTGACTTTCTGTTTGGCATTACGTTGCCTGGGCATTATGCTCATATCATTTCAACGATATACCGCTTTATGTTTGTGGTCATCAACTAGATTCATGGTAAAGTTTTCTAAAACTTTTTTTTTCTAAATTTAGAAAACTCTTAAAGTTGTCTCTCCAGTGGGTCAACAGAGGTTCTCCCATACGAATTGTTGCTATACAATGGGTTGTGTCTGCCGTCGTGATTTTCCCGATTCTACCTTTGATCGATTCGAGTTTAGGACCAACTCGTGAAAAAGCGCTAGTGTTTGATGCCACAAGTTTCAAGGTGAGTGGTTTTTTCACAGCCATAAGCCCGGATCGAATTTTACGCAACCATGGGTTCCTCCTGAAGAAAAATGGAAGTTCCATCTTATAGGCTTAGCTCCGAGAGGATCTAAACCGAGAGGGCCCAGTTACTTATTAGGTTGGCAAAGAACAAGCCCAATGAGGAAGAATAAATTAATTTTTTAAAGGTTCTTATGATCGCTATGTATGTTTCCGTCTTCCCAACTTTTGTAATATGCATTTTTTGTTATGGTGCCGTGCTGAGGGAAATATTCTGCAAACTGCGTTCAGTCAGGTATAATTATTGCCTTATATTTAGCTTTAAATTAAAATTCAAGAGCATTATCTATGACCTCGCCTTTTCTCATAAATGAAATAGGCGTAGAGAATTGGTAAGAGGGTTGTGAAAAAAACTCACTCTCCTAAATGGCGTAAACTCACCTCAAACTCCATTGCATACGCTCCACCTCCATATGGTCGATTTGGTCATAGGAAGATCTGGTTCCATAATTTGGAGCATAATAGGGACAAGCGAAAGTTTTGTCTATTGGATCACGTCCCCAGTTTTACTTCACGTGGGGATATTTTCCAGTTTGAGCCATCACTGCTCGGACTCTTCCTTTATCTTCCATATACCAGTCGCCTCCAAGATCGCCTCATTTCACCATCTTCCTTGGTCTGGAAGATAGTCCTTTGGCGTTCAGTCTAGTTTCCTAGATTTGGTTTCCTCCGCACTCGACTTCCATCTAAAATTATAGTGTTCGAAAGCGTATGGGCCCTGACATTCCGGTTCAATAACTTGTGGTGTACAAGTCAGTGTTTTTACCATCCCAAACGGATCTGGTAGTAATCAACCGGCCCCGAAGCAATTGGAGGCTTGACTGCTTTGGCGGGTACCAACCCGGGCTTCCATCCTCGAACCATGCATGCAATAGTGCGCCACTTACCACTACACTGCCCCCGGCCATAAGATATAGGATAAGCAGCTCTCGATCTAGTTTGGGGCGCTCGTTTTCCGCCCGTTCTTATTAGGGCGAACTTTTATTAATTCTGAATGGAACGTTTGATGGATCTACCAAACATTTTTAGAACCGCTTCAAAAAAAGTCGTACGAGAAGTTCAATTATGCATCCAAGCGGCAGCATTTGTTTTCGCCTTCTTCCTCCTTTTCGCCTTTTACCTGTATGAATGCATTCTTATACTTAATTCCGTGAGTTCACCAAATTATTTCTCTCTTATAACTCTTTTAAAGGCACCGTTAGCAATAAATTTAGGGTACCCCTTTTGACGGGAATTGATAGAACTACTCTAGAATAAA